CGTTGAATAAAAAGCATATGTAATATGATGACTTGATATAATCTTTGAAATCATTGTGAAATTAAAAGCAAAGCTGATTGTGAGTTGCATACGTCAAGTAAAAGCTACATAAAAAACACATTGTACCAGATTATAAAAATTAAATTGCTCGAAAATGTCTGGCAAAATTCCTGAGGAACTTCGCGAAGGCGTTGCCGAGGAATAGTTTGTGGAAACTGAAGATCTCTTGGCTCACTCTTGGCGTGAGTAAAATCAGCGCACACGGTTTATCTTTGAACGTGAAGTCTAGGCCTAGGCATCGGCTAGTTTGCTGCCAACTTTTCAAGCCAGTCAACAACATATTTCCGTCATAAACGCTAAGCTACCGCGAATCAATCTCATCTCTCCGATTCTGCTCTCCAAAGTGAAGAGGACCATGCTTTTTCATCATGATCTCTGATAGTGACACGACTTGCAATGACATGAATAATATTGAACGAGAGGAGACGCTTAATTTGAGTAAAAAAGACAAGTGTTTCTAATTAACATTTAATAACAATATAATTAAGCAACACAATATAATTAAGCAACACTACAAGTAATCCTACAAATGAACATTATAAATTAAGAGTGTCGGATTGAAACGAATGTAGTTTCAATGAGTAAATATTTTAGGTGTCATAGATGTTTGAGAATAATATTTATATTTAGTATTAATCTCCATATTATACGATTCAACAATATGTCACGACACAGCTATTTTTTCGTAAGTATAAACGTATTTATCTTTATGTTGTAGAATCAATGCGAATGAATACATTTATATATCGTAGAAAAATATTTTCATCAGTCATTCTTCATTAAGGATTAACAAGCACGCAATAAGACCGTGGCACGGATAGTTTTCCGATATAAGTGTCTGACAGAAAGAGAAAGAGAGAGAAAAATTAATTTATGCAGATAAATTTCTCTCACCTTTTTATTTTCTCGGACGTAAATAAAAATAGTCACGATAAAAATATAATGAAATATAAAGAAAGAATAAATATAAACCAAGAGAAAAAAGAGAGAGAGAGAGAGAGAGAAGAGAAATCGAAATTCCGAGTCATATTACTTACCACGGGTCTACCCCAGCGAGATCATGCAGCGAGAGCCCCTCTCATACGGACATACCCATCTCGCCGTGCGTCTCGATTTCCTTTTTCCACGGTGCCACGTCGCGATAGAAAAGTTGGTCCAGGGAGGAAATCGGCTCTTCCTCGTCGGCACGCGGATGCAATACGCTTGGCCGACCGGGCGTCAGCCGCGCGACAGATGGGAGCCTGGCAATACGACTGAATCTCTTTTACGGCACTCAGCATTCGGCTGACACGCTGGACCGCCAACCACCTCGCTGGGGGTAGCGCGCGCGTCATGGACAAGGACGGAGCGCCGGTAGCGCGCGCGCAAGGGTACAGATGTACAGGGTGATTCATTATTGGTATACAATAAAGATAAGTGGTTGTATATCAGAGAAAAATCAATTATCACAGAATAAACATGCTTTATTTAAAAAAAATATAAAGATAATCCTTTAATATTCTACAACTTGACAATTTCAATTATTTTCTATTGTTTTCTAAATATAACTTGAATTTTTTTATTTGTGGTTTGTAAAAATATGATTTATGTCGCGAGATAATTAAAAATGTTCAAGATTAAGAATAACAATTATTAATTTCTTGATTTTTAAAATTAATTTTCTTAAAAACACATAAGTCTATATTAAATAATTTTACCCTTTTAAAGTTTTTAACCTGGTTTTTTTTATATAGAATTATCTAGTTTTTAATTGTATCAATAACGAAATAGTTCTATATAAAAATAACATCCTGTATATCCCGCGGAATCAAAATATTGTGTGTTGAAATCGCGGATGAAGAGAAATGAGAGAAAAGTTTCAGATCGATCGTAAAGTGGGACAAGTGATCATCTTTCAGATTCTCAATTTTGCAGAGTAAGCTGTAGTATTTCATAAGAGTCACTAATTTTTTTATTCGACAATGATTACAATAATTATTGAAGATTGTAACAATTAAAAATTGTAAATTTTTCCACGGATTACAGCCTTTAAAAATATATAGAATTATACTTAAACTAAACATAAATACTTTAATAGAATTTTAACTAAAAAATTAATAATTATAAATAATACTGATTACCAGAAAAGAAAAAAAAGAACGGACAAATAGTAAAATCTTCCCTATGGAAATACCTAAAATGTCACATAATTTGGTAGTAAAAATAATTCTCGAACACCTTATATACGAGTAAAGAGTGACAGAGTAAAAGAAAGGAAGAGCTGATCCATCTACGGGGCCATGATAGAAGAGGGAGATCGAGCGAAAGGGAAGTATAAGGTCTGATGGAGCGAAAAGAGACCTACGATTCTTAAGGAAAGAGGAAAGATATAAGAAAGAAAATGTGAGAAAAAAAGGATAGAGAGAAAGAAATATTGGCAAAAGTAGAAAATGGCAGTCACGCTGGGTGGGTCAATGTTTCATCGTGACGGATGCAGTGTCAATGCTATGCGAGGTGGAGATATCGAAAAACAGCGAATAGATGGATTTTAATAAAATTTATAAATATTCTTATCAAAAAAAGGAAAATAAGAAAGCGAGCAGAGTGTTGCATAGATAGATTCAAGGATATATCGGGAACAAATCGAATTGTTTGAATTTGCTTGAATTTAAGAGGGAGCTGAAGACTCTTTGGCAGATTCGATCGAATGAGAATATTAATAGGAAACACAACAGGGAATATGGATTAGTAAAAGGATCATGTAATAAATAATTCGAGGAGAAAAAAAGTGTAGATTAAAAGAAAAGGATTAAGAGAAAAGGAAAAATTTGGATAAATAAATAGAAATAGGTGTAATTATAGATATAGATAAATATTGAAATATATAGATAAATTTACTTTAGACTACATAAGATCTCTTTAGATATATAGTAATTATATTATGAGTTTGTTTAAAAAAAATTATAAAAATATGATATACTTTACATAAGCTAAATCCTTAAATAATTTTAAACAGATAATTTTATTTATAGAATGTACAGTTAAAAATTAAGACATCATTTTTATGTTAAGTAAATTAGAAATATAATATTTAGAAAAATGGAAACAAAATACAAAAAGATACACAAAAGGAGTGGAGAAAGAAAAGAGAAAGATAGAGAGATAGATACATCGATAGATAAATAGATAAAGAGAAATAGAATGAGAAAGCGGCGCGAAATGAAAACAGAAAGAGAAAGAGACAGAGCTACTGAGAGGAAGGCAAGTCCATATACAGGGGAGAGGGGACAGCCGTATTGATCTGTTCGCGCAAACTCCTGGTCCTTAGGCTCCCTCCGCGGACCAGAACCGTCCGACCCTCGCCCTGCTTGTCACCACCCTCGTCCTGTTCCATTCGCAGCTTCCGAATGCGCGCTCTGTAGGCTAGAGTTCTTGGAAGATTTCAGCTACAATCTTTCAGTATTGTCGTTCTTTTAAAGCACCGATTAATATTTTAATACGGCAGAACTTTCTCTCTCATCTCGTTCTACTCCGTTTTTTAATACGTGTCATCGTGAAAAATATTTCGAAGGCTATGAATCTGATCATCAATCAGCTCAAAAAATGAATAACAACAAACTCGCACTAATTTAATATTAATTGCTGATTCTTTGTAATATTATTTTCATTTGTTTGTAGCTTTCTAATACATAAGTACTGTCAGTCTATCACTGAGAATCTTTCGAGGTTTTTCATTACCGTTGTTCTGAATATAGTCGTTTCTTTTTCAATGCTACGAGGCTTATTCCGAAACGAGATAATCAACAATGATATGTAATTGCGCAGACACGTTGAAGGAAGTCATTGAAAGTAATAATAAAATTGAAAGCCTCTTCTAATCGACATGATCGTATCTGCAACGTACTAGTTTTCATCGCCCACGGTAGGAATTAATCGCGCGTTCCACGCAAAGATCCGATCGTATTTAAGCGCACTCTCGCAAGGCCGATCGACGATAATTACACACCTTGAACAGATATGCCGTGACCCTGTTCTTCAGGACTGAGCTTGACAGAGTTTTTTTTTTTTTCTTAGAGGGTGCGATCGACACGTTCGTCACAATGTGCGTCAACGCCGATCATTCTTAAACGTACGAGAGTGATAAGAACTAGAACATCTCTGTTTAATTTAAAACTTAATTCGCAAAAATAAATTAATTGAAAAAATTCGGAGAATTTATTTCAAAGTTATATAAATATGCAGGGTGTTCTCTAGACACTTATCTATGGTGTTTGATGAAATTTACATTAATCTCCGCTTGTCTTTCTGAGACTTAGGGGGGATTGAGAATTTATAACTTTACGAAACCGCATTGGCAATAGATTTTTTTTTAATTTGGCTACTTTTTTTTATAGAGGTTGAGAATAAAGATAATGCTATATAAAAATATAGCAGTTTCTCTCTTGTGTCAATAATGAGTGCGTTAACGATGTTGCGGTGGCGTGCGATTGACGGATGGGGGACGGTGTCGTTTTCGCACACTCAACAAGCTGTATCGTTTTCGCCCTGTAGGCGATCGACGTTTAATTAAATGTTGGGGGATCGTCGAATTCGGTTGAATGGCCCAATGAGCTATCGTGAAAAGTGTTAGACGAAGGAGAAAGGAAAGGATAAGAAAGAAAAAAAAAAAAAGAAGAAAAGACGGTGACGGGAAGAGTCGAGAGAATGTCACAACTGATTAGTACGAAGTGTGAGAAAGGAGGAAGAGCGATGCATTGGACAAAATAAAAGATTTTCGAGACAATAATTGAAGAATTCTTTTACACAAAATCTCCAATTTTGCGTGAAACATAATTTACGACATAATTTACAATCGCTTCCTCTTATTTGTGGATTTCCTGCGCCTGATGACACGGTGAACTCCGACTCCTTTTCCTTATCTTCCTCTTATTATATATTTAAAAAAATATTACGATCTAATGTATTATAAATATCTAGCCATTAACACATGTATTTCACATTTGCTAACAATTTTTTTTAGACTATAAAATCATTTTTTTTATAGAGGATGTTATTCACACGTTGTCTTTTTCATTCGTAAATTTTATAATCAGTTTGTGTAAAATTGTCGGGCATATATAATAAATTTCAATTCCAATACAATTTTACTATAAACTTATAACATTATCGCAATAATTTTTTAATTTGAGATAAATGAACATATTAATATCTTTAAAGAGACATAACAGAAAAATTTCTTCAACGTATGATATACGTACATTATACATGGAACTTGTTTTCATCAGTAAAATAAATGCTAAGTAATTATATTACTTACAATAGCTATTTACGTAATTATATAAAATACCATATTTCTTTCCTAGTTTATTAAGATCTTTTTGTAGTCTCTTGCAATTTGATAATTTACGTTGTAGTCGATTGTTCATTCAATTTTGGTGGAAAGTAAACTGATCTGATTAACATCGACGTCGCTGATGGCACTTGCTTCTTATCGTGCATAGTCTTATCTATGGGATTAATGGAGGCAAAATCCGTGGCGACTTTCCGTGCTGTTAATGTCAACATGCTCATCAAATCCATCTTTGTTCCGTATTCATCCAGGACTTTGCATAGACATTGAATATACCATGTGCCTTCCACAGGATTCCTCCAAGTGTAAAAATCTTGAAATACGAGAATTACGTTGAGCATGTTTATTGTCTTTGGGTATTTTAGAAAAACCACTTTTGTTTTCAAAATTGTATTGCTAAAATTTTTCTTGATTAAAAATGTTTTACAAATTTAGCTTTTTCCCCTCCCTTCTCCGACAAATTGCATTGTTACAGAAAATTGTAATAAATCTTGCAATTTTATAATTTAAATAAAATGTTAAATATGAAAGTAAATATATAATATTTACCTTGAACCGAACTGTGAGCTATTAAAAAATCTGCATGAGTAGGAATCTTATAAGATGATACGGTATCTGTTGCTTCCGATGGTATCAAACTGCGAGGAGACAGTACTACACCGCTATCAACCTGATCGCCTCTGCAAGCCTGAAGAAAATCAGCAAGCAAAGTATGCAAGCTAAATAAAATAAAGTTAATCCGAGAAATATATTTAGAATATCTCGACAATATTTAAAAATAAAACGCGATTTCAAAAAAATGTCAGTTGCTTTACTTGGAAGAAAAACAATTTTGGCTTTCCTGCTAGCGTTATACATTTATCGGCGGTAAATGGCTTCCAGATTTTTTCGGATTTATAGGCGACGTCTTTCGCCCATATCAAGTCATTTTGCAGTCCGTGAGTTAGCACGATAATGCAGAGGCAGTCGTTATCTGTATGGTCATATTGGCTTACTGTAACACATGTAATTAAACGTCAGTGTTTAATTAAACATATAATTTATATTTATATATGTAATAGAGAAAAAAAATGCAATCCAAAGTCAAAAAAACAAAGGTAAGTCATATAACGATTTATTCACGTTTCTCTATTTTATCCATAACTTCCATGTGGCTTAAATCATTCTCAATTTCAATGTCGAATCCGAGATTGCCAAAACTCTTTTGCAATCTCATCGCGTCTGTCGTCGAACCTTCACGTTTGTCAATACCCGAGTCAAATTCCTCATGATTGAAGATTATGCACTTGCCGCGATTTTTATGATTCATGTTATAACGGTCAGCATCTATCGGCACTGGCATGAATGCAGTAGACGTCGAATATTGTCTGAGAATAACAAAGAAAATAAAAGTTAATCAAATGAGAAAGTATATTAATTTGTATTTGTGAATCTTGACTATAAAATTTGTTTCATACAATTAATATTAATGTTAATAAAGAGAGATTTAAGTGCTAAGGAGGAATCTCACTTATAAACGTAGATTAATAAATAATCTCTTCTTACATGCCAATCAAATTGTCATCATCGACTATGTTTGGAAAAATATTGGCGTCAATTAAATCTGATTTCTCTGTGTCGGGTTTGAATCTTTCCGCGATGTCCGGTTTGTCAAAATTTTGTTTTTGATCTTCCTCCGGCGTTGTCTAAGAAAATAAACGGAGTTCGCAACAGAAAAAATAACATTCTGCAATTTAAATTAAATAATTGCAGTTGAAATAAAGAGGGACATAAGACAAAATTCCAATGTTTTTCATTAACAAAAGGAGCTTCAAATTTATTAAGAATTGTGTGCATGAAATTAAAACTGATAGTTTAAATTGAATCTAATATTATTAATCTCGGAGATTGATTTAATCCAGTTGAATCATACACAAGAGTCAGAACATATTTGTATAATTTAATACATTTCTTATCTATTTTTATCTTATATTTCATAAATTGAAAATATTCTATAATTTGTAACAAATATATTATATAAAATTGCTATCTATTCGAATTTGTCTGAGGCATCGCAAAAGCCTTAATCATAAGTATGTACACGTACGTACATAATGATCTAAAGTAGACAAAGATTTGCTTCGGCATGGAACTGCAATGTTTGCATGAATTGTGAACAAATCTTTAATGCCGATTGAATCTATCACCGAACTGGATCTAGTCCTGTGCTCAGAAGATATATTGGATGACTCAACATTTTCGATGAATATCTCGTTATCCATCTGAAAACGAAAATTATTTATTTATTTATTTACTTATTATAACAAGAAGATATTCCTATATAATGTATTAGATATGCTAAATAAATATTAAGAAACTACTTAAAAAATAAAAGCTAAGAACATAAGTAATGGAAAAAAAAAAGAAAAAATAGGAAGAGATATATACATATGAGATACATGTACAAAGATAACATTATTGTAGGTAACAAATAGATACACATCGTTAAATATGCTAAATTGTAAAGGAGAAAAATTGACTATATCAGAATAGTCGTTTGTTAGTATAAAAGCGATCATGCAATTCCTTGCGCGGAGAAAATAATTTTGTCAAAAGAATCCTACCAAGAGAGAGATATCCTATTTAAAAAATATGAGATTTAAAAAGCTCTAATATATCAGAATAGAGAGAGAAATATACTTATTTAAAAGTTTATATAAAAGATTTAATATATAAAAAATCCGATGTCAACAAACCTAATTCCTTCAATACGAAATAACAATCATAGCAAGACAGTAATATAGGTTACATAACGTGATAATACGCGCATAACATGAAATGTTTAAAGGTCATTATAAAGGATGTCACGAACCTTGTTATTAACGACAAATAATGGCGTTTTAATTAAAATTTATTAATTATTGTTCAAAACTGTCTGTGACTATATTAAATAATGAAATATTGATGCATTTATAATATATTTTTTTAAGCAGAATTCAAAGTCTCATTTGTTATTGGTGAGAACTCAGTTATTAATTATATTATTATATATTAGATTGTCTATTATCATCCCGATACTCACAGTCATGCAACTGTCTTTCCGGACAATTTCTTTGATCCTTGTAACATTTTCCACCGTTTTCCACGTGCTCGGACGCGCATGACATTTATCTTCATCTACACTGTCAGTGAACTGCTTATGCAATTTTAAAATTCGAGCACGTGACATACACTCCCTTCCGTATACCTTTTTCAATAGACGAAGAGATTCGAGAGAATTTTTTTTCAATTTGACGAGAAATTTCAGATTGATACGTTGCTTAAGTTTTGAATTTAACATGATTCCGGATGTCCTCTAAATTCTAAACCAATATGTCTAATTTAACATCACAGCATTCAAGCGGACAACAACGCATCACTTAAGCTTTATTTAATCGTACCTCACCTTAATTATTATATAACAATTTTCAAATCACGCATCAACACGCTCAAAAATATTGACTTCTTTTCAAAAGATAAATTTTCGGCTGTTGTAAAGACGCGTACTTATACTAACTGAGCAAATTTAAACTTGTAAAGCAGTTTACTCATCTAAAGAAAGAGTACATATTTGTTTTTTTTTTCAAATATGTATATATGTATATATAGATGTATACATTTTTTTAAATATCCTTTCATATATATATATATATATATATATATATATATACACAGACAAAAACATATATAAATATAAACATTAGTCATATTTCATACGAATTATCCTGTGTTTATGCGAGCATGCCTGCGTGCGTGTGCACGTAAATATAAACATATAATTACAGAATGATTCGTATAAAGTGATGCAATATTTACAAAATTAAAAATATATGGAAAGCTGTTTATATAAAAAGTAGTTTAAAAAGGAATATATATTGTATTGTATATTGTAAAGTATTACTTTTTTGAAGGCAAAAGAGTGTAAAAGATATTCTAAAAATTGATTACATATTTTTAATGCAATTATATGATTCTTTTTGCATAAATTGATTTCTCTTGTCACATTCAGTGTACAAAAATATTTAAGTAAAAATAAAAAAGTGATAATTATTAAAGATAAAGTAATAATTTATGTCATAATTTAGTCTTTATGTTTTTTATAACATATAATATAATATAATAGATAAAAAATAGCAACTTTAAAAAAATATCTACATTTTATATGCATATCTATATTCTATTAGGAGCAAGTTTTATGTTGATAATTATTAGGGTTAAAACTGATTAAATCAATCTTTCTTATCTATCTTTAGTGAAGCCATCTAAAAAAAAGTAGCAATCGCGATAATGAAAATGAGTTAACCAAGATTATCGATATGCAACAAAGCTTTCATGACTGTATTGTGAAAAATGTTGCAGTCAGTTTAAGCTACTGAATTAGTCATCCCTCTTTAGATTAAAGAAAAAAATCGTTGATAATAAACTGAACCACTTTTTTCGGTGACCTGGATTATCACTTTCAATATTTTTAGCAACTTTAATGTGATATATGCTTATTTAAAATTATACAGAATGTTTCATTTTTTTCCGCATTATTTTTTAATGACAGATTTTTTGATCGATTTGTTGATCGACTTCTTTTTAACACAAAGATCGAGAGAAAGCTTAAAGATGAAATTTTGTAATTATTATCTTATTATTAGAAAAAAGGAGATGATAAACGCAGAGGAAAAACAAAGCAAATATGAATGTATAAATCTTTGTTGCGTAGAAGAAATAAAGGAATATATCTTACTTTATGCAAAAAATTGTTGTTAGGTATAAGCATACAAAATCGATTTCTATGTTCATTCCATAACAATGCAAAAATACAAAGTTTAGTAAAAATGTATAAAAATTGAACTATATATATATAATAAGTTGCAAAAATATTCATATCTTTTTACCGATTAATTTTAAACAATTTATATTTTCTCATATAAGTATTTTTATAATATTGATTTTCAAACATTTGATATAAATTTCTATTTGTTATAATTTGAATTGTTATTTTTCAACATAAAAAGCTTATAAAATTGGAATTGATTGAAAAAGGCAATTTATATTATTTTAATTCCCATAAAAGAGAGAGTTCAAAGATTTTAATATATCAAAGACAACATGATAATTCTTATGTTTATTTACATGTAATAAAGGAATCGTGATGATTGACGTTTGTACATTTTTGTGTACATTTTCTCGTACCTATTAATATACTCGTTATTGAATTGATCGATACATTATATAACACTTTAAATCTTTAATCTCTTAATCTTTCCGATGTAGGAAATTGAATTTATCAAAATTATTAATTTTGTGCTTTCTGCTTTTTTTCATATTGCAATTTTCTTACCTGTGATATCTCGGCTTCGCTTTCGCTGTTTATCGTCAAGGATCCCATATCGCGAAAAAGAGATATTATACACCGAGATCACTGAAACTTAATTGTCTTTACGTGGACGAAGATTCTACGAAGAGAAAAGACTATGTCAAGAACTCGATGTGTCTGCGAAACGACTATAAAAGGGCCAATCTCCGGCTGATTCAATCCACCACCATCCATATCATCTATGCGATTATTGAATTCCCCTACTAGGGAATCGGCTTATCAGTTTTTATCACGTTTGATTTTTATCGTCTCCGTAACGCTGTCGCACAGTCAAACTGGAGAAATGCGTTATTGTTCAAACCTTGTCACATATCGCAGGATGTTCGTGGTTTTGATACGCAATAATAGAAAACCTTGGAAAGGTCGCCGTTGTAAACACAGTAAGATTATTATCCTATAGTTCTCTACAGAATTTAGGACGGCATTCTATTTATAATTTTATATTTATGATATATATCTGTTTGTATTCTCTGATCTGTGTCATTTTATCATAAAATTATAATGTATAATAATATTTTCTCTCTCTTTCTCGTAATTTATAAATTATCTAAAGTGTGGACTCTCTCTTATAATAATATAACTGCATTATGAACAAAATGACATATTTTAAATAGATTTATTGAAAAAGATATATATATATATATATATTTCAATATAAATCAGCATTGCTGTCGTTCTAATTTTACTAGTTGATGATTTGTTAGAATTTTGATACAATCAATTTCCACTATTTTATTTTGTAACAAAGTGTAAATTTCTCTACGCGTTTGTTTGTGACATTTTCGGCCGAATCCCAGGCGCATCTAAAAGTTCGAAAATAATTGGCTGTTCAAAGAGAAATTCGTGATTAATCAGATGCGCCTGCCGCTGCAAGAGTGCATATCATTCTTTGTTAGAATTTTGATACAATCAATTTTACTATTACAATTTTAATTACACTATTTTATTTTGTAACAAAGTGTAAATTTCTCTACGCGTTTGTTTGTGACATTTTCGGCCGAATCCCAGGCGCATCTAAAAGTTCGAAAATAATTGGCTGTTCAAAGAGAAATTCGTGATTAATCAGATGCGCCTGCCGCTGCAAGAGTGCATATCATTCGCTACAGTTTGTGCTTCCCTTGCTTCATAAACTATAGGAAAACGAAGAAATGCTGTCTGAAAGCTGAAAAGCGCAGTTGCGAGAATTGCAAGTGAGTTTGAGTGGTTTGTGTGAGTGAGCTGTCAAGTGCAATCTCACTTATGTGATGAAGTAAACGATCATTTAAAAAAAATATATTTCGAAATTCGTGCTTTTTTATAATATTATCCAGTGTATTCTAGTGCGTTTTTTGCATTGTCATCGAATAGTTATTTGCTATGCATATGCGGCTGCAGGTAAGCAAAAGTAAATAAAAAGGTTGGTGAAAGGCAGTCTGTAAGGTTAATGCGTATAATATTATAAAAAAATTTCTATTGTCATTTTTTAAATATCTCGTTTCTTTTTTTAATGTTGATGGTGATGACAGTTGATATATAAATTCTTGTTAAATAATTTTTTCATGAAGAATTCGTATTTGGCATAATTACCATGTTAATATTGCACTTCATTGTTTTCTTTTTTGTTCTTGTCTTTTTCTAACATTCTCTTTCTTTCTTTCTTTTTTTCAAGTTATTTTATATACATATATTTATTTTTTAGTAGAACTGGAAGAATTTTTCAAGCTGATAAGATTTTGATGAAGGCTGTGGCAATATGTCTATTGCAAATCAACATATTGTAACCAATCCTTGTCTCGATGCTAATGTATCGCTTGGAATAGACGAAGCATGTTTCAGTATCGTTAATGAATATCATACGCCTATCGTATTATATTCCTATCCATCAGAATGCTACTTGGTAAATTTGTATATATATTTGACAGACAAAATTTTTTATTAAAATTTTTGCATCAGTAATCTTATTCTTTGTAATTGTAGTGCAAGAGTGTACTACAGGGTTACTTACCAGAGCAAAAAAATACCACATTAGTTATACCTACAAAATATCCTCTGCATATATTCTACGAAGATGCACAACTGTCACAATTTTGTCAGTAAGTAATTACATGTACAGACTTGCTACAATTATGTTATATATTATTTTATATATTTCTTACTAAAATATATAAAAATATATTACAATGTAATATAATTTACAGCACTACATACAACTTTAAAGAACATGGAAGTTATGGATGGAATATTTCTAAAGAGCAACCATGCTCTGAAATTTACACGATCCATGAGCCAGTAAATAGTTATCTTCGTAAGTCGAAAGATTTTATAACAATTTTTTATAATTATTAATTTCTAGAGTTGAAACTATTTAACATATGTTTTTCTTTGCAGCAATATTTGCAGCTTTCATGGTATATGTCCTGTTAATGATTTTATGCGCAACTTTTAAAATTATTATACGTGTGATAAAAGGAAAATTGTCTCCAGATAATGTACACGATGTAAATATTTATATAAATGTATATTATTATATGGAACCATATGTGCATTTCTCTCATGCTGAATACTGTATATTTCCAGGACTTGGACAGACTTCAAGAAGCAGAAACATCAAATCCAATTATTGGGACAAACAGATCTAGTACTAGAATTCGTTCAGTTGATACATTCCGAGGGTATCTCTTCTTTTCATATAAAATAATGCAAAATGCAAATCTATTTAATGTACTAAATATTAAAGTGCTAAATTAAAAAATTATTTCAGGATTGCTATATTATTAATGATATTTGTCAATAATCATGGTGGCGAATATGTGTTTTTCAATCACAGTATGTGGAATGGTTTGACAGTGGCAGATTTAGTACTACCTTGGTAATCGTCTGGGTTCTATTGCACTATGTGTACATACATTCTGTTCTACTATCGTTATTCTTTTGTATGTATTGTGATTTCAGGTTTGCGTGGATTATGGGATTATCGATTACTATATCAAAACGATCTGAGTTTCGTGTATCGAGCTCACGTAAAAAAATTATTTTGCGTTGCCTGCAGCGCGCGTTTATCCTCGTACTCCTCGGACTGATGTTAAACTCGATTCATTCAAAATCGCTAAAGGATCTTCGTTTTCCGGGTGTCCTTCAATTGTTGGCTATATCGTATTTCATATGTGCCACAATCGAGACTATATTTATGAAGATACATTCTCAGGTTCAAACCGCTTTTTTTTTTATTATTAACATTACACACATCTGCTAAGGCACTAATCTGCGATAATAAACGTTTAGGACGATTTATTACAGTTTGGTCGGTTCACTATTCTGCGAGATATCCTGAGTAATTGGGCGCAATGGTTGATCATTTTGGCAATTGTAGCGACGCATACTCTAATCACGTTTCTCCTGCCTGTTCCAAACTGTCCAAGAGGATATTTAGGGCCTGGTGGTTATTCCCATTTTGGACAATTTCAAAACTGTACTGGAGGTGCAGTTGGTTATATAGATAGACTTGTCTTTGGAAGTCATATGTATTCCAAAACACATAATCCTGTATATGGTACTATCTTACCTCACGATCCTGAAGGTATAATATAAGAAAAAATAGCATTTCTTTAACACTAAATTTCAGTAAATTTAAAACTTTTTCACATATCCTAATGAACATTAAATTTATAACTAACACATTGTACAATACAGGTATAATGAACACTATGTCTATAATACTTGTTGTATACTTGGGTGTCCATGCCGGAAAAATCTTATTACTCTACTACCAATGCAATGCTAGGGTAGTACGCTGGTTATTATGGTCAGGTGTTACGGTAAACTTCCATTTTTTTTTAAATACGACAATATAAAAAGTATGATATACATAATTTATATAATCATAAAGTAATAATCGATATTTATAACATTTATATACAGGGTATTATTGCTGGAGTATTATGTAATTTTGATAAAGAATCTGGAGTGATACCAGTCAGTAAGAAAATGATGTCACTTTCATTTGTTTTGACTGTATCGTGTTTTGCATTTTTATTATATACAATCTTACATTTCTTTGTCGATTATAAACAATATTGGAGTGGAGCACCATTTATTTATGCAGGTTTGTGATATTATTCAATATAATTATTTCTTTTTTTTTCCAATGCCCAAAAATACATCACAGCTTTTTTTATCCATTAAAAGTGCAATTAAAATTAGGAGCCTTCACATTTTGTATTTTTTTATAGGTTTAAATCCGATTACTCTCTATATCGGTCATACTATTACCATGGGATTATTCCCATGGGCTTGGAAATTGATGCATCCTACACATTGGTCAGTCCTTGCTATGAATTTATGGACTACAACTTTGTGGGGTATTATCGCATATTGGCTTTATTGGAAGGACATTATTATATCCATTTAAAGCTATTAAAAATAAAGTTATTAAAAATTGATTCATAAAGTAACATAGATCCGTAAAGGTTTAAGTAAATTATTGAAGGTTGTTATACTTTGTGTGAATATACATGCTTATAGAATTATGTGAATAATGAAGCAAATATTCAAAGTTATGTGATAAAAAAAAAATGACAAAACAAAAAGAGAAGATAGCTTTATTGCATAGACCAGCATTATATATATAATCATTGCTCATTAACAAATTTTGTAAAATAATATAATAATTTTGAAAAGTATTATTGTGTATTAATTTTCTGAATAAAAATGTTTTATAAACTTTCCCGAACTATATTTTATTATATTTCTAACATTAATTTTCACAGAATTAATATATTATATCATTATTTACAATAAATATTGGGTTATACAATATAAATAATATATGAAACTAATAATATAGCAAATAATTTATGAAATAATACATTATTATCGATATAAAAATATTTTACCATTTATACATTTCTGTCTTTTGGATCTTTATAGGGCAAACCTAAGATCTTAAAGATATCTTTTTCACAAGTAATTTTTTCAGATTCTCCTGGACAACCTGAAAATATAATCGTTCTCACATTTATGAAATTTTTTGAATTGTTATACTTTTACACATTATTCCTCTTTTCAATTCTACCTTCAATTGTAAGAGGTTTAAGTGCGTATTCATTCAAAGTGTATTTCTTCTCTAATGCATGTGCTCTCATATTTTTGTTGAATAGATCACTTCCTGTGAAATACAGTATGGCGCAATAATATTGATCATAAAATGTCAGTCGTATGTCCAATCTTCTGAAAGGTTTATGTTTATTCTCCGGTAATTGGCATACTCCCTACAAAAACAATATTATAATTGGGTATTTAGAAGTTTGTCAACTTATTTTATTTCATTACCATGAATTTAGTGGATCCAAGAGATATTGTATCTGTAATCAATTTTTTCTTTTCGAGACATTCAACAATTGTTTTCAATGATATAGTTTTCTTTTTCGCATCTTTTGCTTTTGATATGTAATCAGGATGTGTTATGAGAACATCAATATCTCCACTTTCTTCTTTGCCTCGTCTATAACTTCCACAAATAGTTACAAGGTAATCACGACTTATTTCTTTGACAGCATCTTTTAGTATACCCTCTATTTGTATAATTTCTGTTCTAGGTATTTTCTTCTCAAAGTCATCAAAATATCTAAAAGAATTTCTCATGTCAGTAAAAATATCTCTAATGTGTGAATTGATTAGTCTCATACTTCAATCCCAGCTTTTGATGATGTGTGAGTTTGTTTTGATGTTTTTTAAGGTCTTCCAATGTTTTGATGCCAGCATCTACTAATTCTTTAGCCTTCGCAGGACCTATGCCAGATACCCGAGCCAATAAACTAATAGCAACATTATTCTCATCTTTTTTAATCTGAAAAAAAAATATAATGTAAAAAGATTTAAGCAAATTTACATTTTTGTCTATATTAATAAAACAACAAAAATAAAAATGATTCAAGTACATCTTCAAGTTTTTGCAGTTTTCCAGTTTGAAGAAATTCATCTATCTTCTTTGCGATTTTTACTCCTATACCAGGTAATTTTTTTGCTTCTTCTCCGCTCTTAACTCTCTCTGGTAAAGTGCTTAATGTTCCAGCTGCTTTACGATATGCATTGTACTTGTAAACATTCTTACTGACATTACGCTCAAAATCTGCTAGTTCTGTAAATAGATATTTGTATTTAATGACAATTCTTGAAGTATAAAAAATAAGTAAAATTGCGTTTTTTTTTAATTAAGAAATCAATTATTTTACACAACATGCAGTTCTAGAGAAGAATATATACTTACCCAACAAAAAATCGCATAAATCTTGATTAGGATTATTTGCATTATTTGTAGCTTTTCTTTTACCCATTACGTAAGGGAAAATGCGAAGAAAATTTCGAAAAAATAATTGATTCAGTTTGTCACTTTTTAATTTTGTAAAATATTGTTATTGTGCCGAATAAGACTTCAAGGTCTATTTTGAAAACAGAAAAATATTAAAATGTTGTTGGAAGATCTCTCACAAAGCAAATGTCTGCATCGGAATGAACCAATGACAGATGGCGTGAGTATATATTGCCAAATTAGTTGCACCAATCATTTTACATATCTCATATAGGCGGGTAAGTATAATATGTATGTAAAATGAATATACAAGATTCTTTTTTTCTCTTAATTAAAATAAATTAAAATAAATATATTGCAAAACATATATATTAAAATTATTTTTATATATAAGACAATTTATAACAACAATTTGTTTCAACATTTAACATTTATTTCAGGCAAAGATGTATATAGATTCGCGGAGAAATATAAATTGATCTACCTCTAAAACAAACTCTTGCTCTCAACAATTCTTTCTTATATTTCTAAATCTTACAACGTGCATA